TGTAACTAGTGCAGACCGGCACGCAGCCGCAAGGCAAATCCACTCAATGCCTTGGGAAAAACCAATAAGTTTAGAATCGAGTTTCGCAGGTCCCCTGGTGTTTTGGCAGATTTGGACATCAACATCGTGTTTCAAGGCCTTTTGTGGTTTTTATGGGTTTCCGGAATTCTGCCTCCAGAGCGAAAACCTAGGTTTTGCATAGCCACGCAAAACTGGTCGAATTTTTGAAAGTACGTTTATGCCGATTCTTCGCCTTCAGCAGCATGCGACGCGCAGCGTTTGGAAAAAATCCCTAGGCCGGCAGTAGCAAAAAACACAGAAAATAGAGCTATTTTGGGCTCGTTTGTGCTGTTTCTAATCGTGAAAGAGCCTTGGTTCTGCACGGATTGTTGTCTTCAGATGCACGAAAATCCCGCTTGACAAGCGCAAGTGCCATTACCAAAAAAACACCTCCCAACACGCGCATGCCTCTACGTCACCATGCCGCACCCGAATTTTTTAGACGTTTTCTCATGCCTTCAAGCGTGTTGTAGTTGCCGCGGTGATTTGAAAGGTTGTCACACGGTCCCATCACGTAAAAGCCTTGCTGCCGTCCTGCTTGTACACCGACCCCATACATATATACACATATATACAATATACAAACAAATATAACGGAAATGCATATATGGATAGAAACAGAATTTTGGGTCTAACAGAATCTAACAGATAAGCCGCAACACATAAAGATTAGAATACAATGTATGTGTACAAAACAATTGCGTATACATATATACACACATCTATATATGGGTATATACAGACGTAATGTATGTTATGTCTGTACATATATATATGTAGAAATATGTATGAAGTATGTTATGCAGGTATTTCGTATGTTCGACAAAACCATATTACATACTACATATGCTTCATTATATATAAAAATATACTATATATGTGTATGTATGTATGTATGCATACGTGTGTAGGTATGAATATGGTTTTTGACATTTATTTGCATGTGTATATATATATATATGCATTGTATATGGTATATTATACATATGTGTGCATTATTGGATCTTCTATAAATCCCATACGTATATCATGTATTCAAATACGTTGTATATAGTATGTATATATGTACACTAGATTATATGTAGCTGGTTTTGCATAAGTATGACTCATATTGTGTTTCATGTATAATAACAGATAACACGCAGCAAAGAACCGGTGTATGCGTGTATATATATAAGCAGCATAGCACTTCATTCGTGCTATGTCATGCATTTCGATGCTGGATTGTATTATGTTATAGAGTTTGTTATGGCTATGTCACGTCATGTTATGCTGTGTTGTGCTGTGTGGATTTTCTTACATGACGTTGTGTCTTGGTATGTTCTATTATGTTATGTCGCGCCGTGTTGAGTTGCGTTGATTTGATATACCACGTCATGTTATGCTGCTTGCTGATTTGATGTCCCAGGTCATGTTTTGCTGTATATTGATATGATATATTCTGTTGAGTCGTGCTATGCTTTACTCGCTTTATTCTGTTTACGGTAACATGTCTGACATTGGAACCTGCGTTACTGCATCTCACGGTTATGCTTTATATGTTCTGTCACCCCAGTGCCGCATTGCAGTGTTTTGTTGCTTTTGGGTTTGTTATGCCATGTTATGTTATGTTGTGCTGTGCTCTCTCTCCTTCTCGTGTTTCTCATTCCATGTTAGTGCCTATATCAGCCTTATTGCAGTAACTACCCTAATTACTATGTGTTGTGCTGCGTGATGTTGCGCTGCGTCGTTATGACATGGTATGATTAAGCGTGGCCTGCTTTGTTCTGCCGCGTTCTGTTCTGCTGTGCTGTAACAAAGATTATGCCCACCTTAGTTTGCAACGTCAGGATGTATTATGTTCATGTTATAGTATGTTGGCTTGTGTTGCGTTGTTACATTAGGCGGTGTGATGCTTTGTTACCGTATGTTTGACATTGTTGTATCATTTCTTCTGCTATTGCACAAGCATATGTCATGTGTTAGTGTTTTGCATGGGGCTCAACTTCATTTACAGTACTACAAAGTCTTTCATGTTTTGCCGTTAATCAGCGTTGTATTTTGACTTCTGTGACCGTCTGTTATACAATGTTGTGCGTTATGGTGCTTTATCTTCCTTCTCATCTTGAAAGAAATGCAATGCAGGTCAATACAGTGTATTCAGTTTGTATGATGATCAAGTAAGTTGCAGCATGTCACAGCACTTGATGCCAACTATAGTATATGACAGCACATCTTAAGATATATTTTTGCGCCATCTGGTTTGATCACATTGTATTTTGTGACACTCTTTCTTCTTCTGTTGTTTTACACTCCCGCACACGATGGTATCTTTATGTTAGTACAATTGAGTTCTAATGCACTCTGATTTTTCTAATTTGTACGAGTTCCCCAAAGCATCGCGAAGGGTTCTTCCGTGCGAAGCCCTCGAGACAAGTACATAGAGTGAAGTGCATAGAGTGGTGTACATAGAGCCAAGTACATAGTACATAGAGCCAAGTACGATGTACATAGAGTGAAGTGAATAGAGTGAAATGCATAGAGTGTCGTGTTCTGCATGCTCACACTCTGCTGTACCAAAAGAGCAGTCACCGTCCTATGCATACACTCTCTTTTGCGCTGCAACGGGCAACAGAGCGGTTAGCCGAAGGTGTTGGTCGTTTAAAGTCGAACCAGCCGTTGTCGGGGCGGTTCGCTCCCTTCGAGCATTGGAAAAGCCTCTGCCGCCACCAAGGCCCGAAGACCAGGGAGGGCGGGAGGGCCAAACTTCAACTGAGCCGAAAAGTCTTGAGACACATCGGCTCATTCACTTGCAGAACTCTATGTTATCACTAACGAGCAAGTTCTGCATGCTCACACTCTGCTGTACCAAAAGAGCAGTCACAGTCCTATGCATACACTCTCTTTTGCGCTGCAACGGGCAACAGAGCGGTTAGCCGAAGGTGTTGGTCGTTTAAAGTCGAACCAGCCGTTGTCGGGGCGGTTCGCTCCCTTCGGGCATTGGAAAAGCCTCTGCCGCCTTATCTAAATTTTGCAGCGAGTGTATGCAGGAGTTCGGTTCCTTAGAAGACAGGGCAAAAGGGGGGAAGGGCAGCACGAAAGCCAAATTGTTTCCGGACCCATCCGTCATTGTCCGCTGTCTGAGGCTCAGCCTCCACTCACAAACGACTTGAAAAGAAAGAGGGCGGAACGCCAGACCGCCACTGTACATCGGAGCTTTTAGCCTCTATTCCGGCGGAACGCCTGTTTACAGGGCTTACTCCCGAAAGCTCCTCAAGAGCTTTAGAGGTGGAAACCATCCACAGCAGAACGCCGTGCTGAATCATCAGCAGGCAAGTCGTTCTCAGCTGGGGCGGTATCACCTGCAGCTTCACCTCCCTCAGACGTTGCAGAAGGGGCCGAAGGGTGAGCTCCCGGCTGATCGTGGCCATGATCTGGATGCACTGGCCGCCCTGCTGCTCGATCTTCTGCAGGATCGGGGCGAGGTGGGGGAGGTTCTGGCCGCCCGTCCGCGGTTGTACTCGATGGTGCTCGATGTAGGGCCCGTGGGAGGCGGTACGCCTGAAGGGGGTGGAGCACCTGCAGATTTGGAAGCCGTGGTAGGTTCGGCTCTTTCCGCATCTGCATTGACCCTCGCCTCCAGGTAGTCCAGGAATTGCTCCATGGTGTAGCAACTCACCACCTCGTCCTGGGTCCATGTGACCCCTTGCCTTTCCAACCTCTCCAGCCTGTTGAGGAGATACAGGCGGTGAGAGCGGCCTAGGCTCATCATGGGCGGTAACGCCCTGACAGTTTGCGAGGGCGTAGATCGGGGCTGTAGCGCCACATTGCCCTGGGCTACCTGGTGCTGCACCGCTCGTAGTCGAGAGCGATGGCGTTGGAAAGCTACCGCGATGGAGACCCCTGCGTCCAAGTCCTCCATGTACTTGGGGTCATTCCGAGCGGTTTCATTGGAGGCCCTCACCTTGACGTTACTAGAGCCTCCTTTGCCCTTTTGACCTCGGAGTTGGGCGGTGCGCCTAATGGTGTCAGCCAACAGGCCTCCCATCACCGCACTCGAGCTGTTCGCGAGGTTCTCCAGGAGTGCCCGCTGTTGGCCGGCGTTAAGGCCTCTCATCCTTTGCTCCAATTCCGCGCACTCCCGTTCGAGACGAGCGACGTTGAGGGCCACGTCGTCCTCCTCTTCCTCCTCGTCGGAAACCACACATTCTTCTTTGGGCCGGCCGCACATGGTGCAAATTGTACGGGTGATCGGCACACCGTAAGAGCACCTTTTGCAGTACCAGTGAGTGGCCCTCCTGACCGTGTTCCCCGTGCCTTTGCCGCTCGAAGTTGAGCTTGGAGCGGAGCCACCCTTCCCTCCGTGGGCAGGCGGTGCGCCCTCATCGGGCGGAACAGCCGGTTCATCGCCCAAGATCTGCACAGCCCAACGACCCATCACGTTCTGAGCTCGATCGGCTTCCGCATAGGATTCTGCCAAAGGGAGCTGACGGGTTGGGGCTGCATAGATGCACGGCGGGGCGGAACGACCCGGTCGAGGCGGTCCTTCGTTGTTCCTGTAGTGCTGCCCAAGGCTGGGGTTCCGCAGGAAGTCCTGGAAGGTAAAGAGGGGCCTGTGGTCTCCCGTGGCTGGACTGAGGGGCGGAAGATCACCTTGAGGTTCCGGGTGTGCCTCCTGCAGGTCCATAAAGCATGGGTTACCACTGTTGGCCATCTGGATCCGGGTCATGTGGCCCCGTCGGCACGCCCAATGAAGAATGTCTTGAGCAACTCGCCTGATAAAAATAACCCCCACACGGCCCCAGGACTGCAGCCCGCAAAGGGACCTGCGGCACATGACGACGTGTTGGAAGATGGTCCAAGGTAGGACCAGCCTGGGAGTCGTTTCATCCAGGTCTCTCACCGTGAACCACAGTGCCTCCCCATTCGGTGCCACAATCGCCATGGGGCGATTCTTTTTTCTAGGGCCCTGGCCTTCTTTGGAGCGGGTCCATGTGGAGGGTCGCAAACAGGCTGTAGCTCTTGAGAGTGGCAGAGGTGTGGGGCAACGGTCCTTCAGGCGGAGCGCCCATGCCCTTGCCTTTTCCGAGGCCTTTCTTGGCCAGGTACACCGACTTTGGCTCCGGCATCGGCATGGGTGGTGGGGGCTGCGGTGTGGCTGCAGCCGCCGGGGGCGGTGACGCCTGGGGCTCCTCGCCCATCTGCTCATCTCTGTCCAGGCCAGGGGAGGACCTCCCAAGCAGGCACCCGTGTGCGGAACGCCTCCCATGCTTTGGCGGAGGCTTTTCCACTGTAAGCCTCTTGGGCCACGGCCTGGGCATCCATCAATCGTGTCACGGCGATTGAGCACCACAGGGGCTGTAGACCAGCAGGTCGTCCGGGGCCTGGCCATTGTTGATGAGCTCCCCGTGCCTCGGTCGCCACCCTCCGCATCCCGCACACTGGTTGGCCTTGACGGACACCTCTTCTCGGCAGTCGGGACAGATCCAATGCGTAGCCCTGGTAAGAGCATCATGCGAAGCCATTAACCAGCTCAAGAAGAGTGCGTGCCGTCACTTCCTGTATCTCGCCCAGCCAAAGGCCCAGCTGCGTGACGCGGGCTAGAGAGCAGAGTCACGTCACGCTTCAAATCGTTCTTGCAGGCCAGCATGCCCTGCGCTCAACGTTGGGCTGATATGGTCGACGATGGCAGCGAGGCAAAATCGGTAGCAGGCTCTCATGTCACACATACACTTGAAGATACAAGCCCTTCTGGGACAGCTGAAGGTTGACCTCTGGAACTGGGATTCATTTCAAAGGGACTATGTGGCAACGAGATGTAGGCTGACCTTGCTGACCCCTGTCCACGCCTCAGTGTGCAGACTACAGCCATTTCTACACACGAAATCTCCTGGTTGACTGAAAACTGAGCGACAGGCAGGAATCATCGTAATCAACGAGGCGCGATGTCAAACGTTGTGTGCAGTCGCTGGACGACCTTGCACCTGCAGCGTGGAAAGGACTGGAGGACCCCGTCGGTTTCACCTCTGGCTGACACTGCAAGGGGCACCACGTGTGTAAATCGCTGCAGGGCAAATCGCCACAAGGCGGCGGTGCTCGGTCGCTTTGGGTGTATGTGCTGTCCACAAGACTTGGCCCTGTCCCCAACAGGTGCCCGCGAAGCCGGTGCGGATCGAGGAGGATGCTATTCTGGACTTGGCTTTCCGCCAGGCACAGGCGCCGGCAGTGCGCTGTGCAAGTTAATCTGCAAGCCCCATTCCTAAGGAGGACAGGGCAAGCGCGGCGCTAGAAGAGGACCAGACGTATGGTTTGTATCTGCCAACGGACTGGTGTGTCGCGGCGGCAGTTGCGCAGGTAGCATGTCTGGTGTCTGGCGTGTCTGCTTCTGTGCGTGTTTTTGCGGATCAGGGTAACCGTCAGCCCGGGAAATAGGGTACTGAGCAGGTGTCTGGATCCAAGGTGCTGTCCGACGTTGGGGTCTGACATGGTCGCAAACGTTGCAACACCGCAGAGCGTGCCTTGGTGGACCAAGGTCATGGGCCATGTTGTCTTCTTTTTACCTTGAAGCCAAGCGCCAGAATAACTGCATGTTCTGTTTACTCGACCAGACAGCAGCAAGTCCAGTGCAGTGTCCTGGGCGAAACCACAGGCGGTGCATGCAAGCCTCAGATCCACGACCCAGTGCGATATGACAACTGCTGCCTGATCGACGCTTTGCGCAGCATCGGGGCGAAGGTAGAGTACCGATCTTCTGGCCCATTCTGGGCTTTGAAAGATGGCAACACATTTCTACGGCCCCATGGGCTCCCGGCCAGCATTATAGGCGTGTGTGTGAGTTGCGCCGGAGTGTTGACGGGCCGCGCGTGCGAAGGTGCTCGTTGCTCCGGGATGATCCTGCAACCTCAGCTGACTGGCCGCCGGGCAAGTACGTCTTATTCATGGCCAGGCGTCAGCACTTCCATGGCCTGGAAGTCTTCCCAGATGGTACTGCCCTACTTCACAATTCTTGCCGGCGCCATGAGGGGGTTACCTTGACAGCAGCGGCTCTGCGGTCCGTGCACGTGGATGCTCGATACAGGTTGGTCGAGATGCCTGCTGATCTGCCAGTGGAAGGAAATGATATTGTGGGAGGCAAGAATTGTGGCGTGTGCGCTGAGGCTTATCATGCCAGTCTTCGCCATGCTCTTCTTACACAGTGGCCGAGTGCTGACCCGGATTCAGACAGTGACAGCTCTGGCTTCTGGGACGAGGTGCTGGTCCCAGGAGAGTCACTTGCCCTGACACAGAGTGACCGACAGAGACAGACACAGAGACAGAGACACAGAGAGAGAGAGAGAGAGAGAGAGAGAGACATATATATATATATATATATACATGCATGTGGATTACGTCTGCAGATTCATCCCAGGCCGTTGCAGCGCATGGTATTCTGGCGTCGATCTGACGATGACCCCCTGGGGCATGCAGAAGCGTGGCAAAGGAGTCAGTGTGATCAGCTTGGCGGTTGTACCATTGTTGAGCGAACCCTGCGCAACAGTGATCAGCAATGTGGTTCGCCCATGCCCTTGTTTTGCGCACGGACTGACGTGGACGCTGCAATCCTGAACTATGCTGTTGGCTTGGCGAATTTTGCAACCGTGTCATCCCTCAGCAAGCGCGCTGAGTGCCTGCTCAGAAGCATCAGCTGTGTGTGGCAAGATTCTTGGCTTCAGATTCCTGATTGCACGTGCAGGCATCTGTGCACAGCCAGGGTACTCGCCGCGCTTTCTGCTTCATGCCGTTCTGGCCAGGCTTGCCTTCCAAGCCACCATAATCCCACACAGCTTTTAAAGTATGAGACGGCAGCAGGAAATGGACGTTTACTGCACATGTGGGTGTCGCATGTGCCAGTGAGGCCCGCTGCTCTCGTCCGGCTGTGTGCCGCGGAACTAGTTGAGTGCGTGCCAGATGAGCAGACTGAGCAGACATGTGAAATTGTACTGGGCTACTCCGATGGTTTAGATTTGCAGTGGCCGGCAGAGAGTTTCCTGACGAGACCGCCAGCCAGCAAGTGGGCCGTTCGACTGATTGCGAGGGTCGACTTCCCTCAAAACTTGTGGTTCGAGCTGCAAGGGCGTCGTGTCGCAGTGCGAACCGAGCCTGGGCTGTCACGAAGAAGGCTTGCGGATGTGAACACAATGTGCCTGGTTTGCACTGGCACACGTCTCCAATTCTTCTGGAGCGGACAGCTTGCAGGCACATGTACAATTCCCGAGGAATTTGCGTTTCCGACGGAGTCCAGGGTCATGCATTGCTATTGTGGCATCTATTCTCAACGAGGCTTCCGCAGGCAGAGCCCGGCAGGCGCTGTGAGTCTGCGCGAGCCGCTGACGGGAGAAGGAAGATGTTTTCCGACGATGTCCATGCGAGTCTTCAGCACGAACAACATGGCAGGGCCCAGATTTTGCATTGAGCAGAACTTGTTCGTCTACGCGGGAGTCGAACACATGCAGGGAGCCCAAGTGCACATGGCCATTCGCAGAGCAGCGCATCTGGGGTCGGTAGAGATCTGTGCTGGCTTCTGCAATGCACACTGCCCGTCAAGTGTGGCGCGGCTGCTCCAGGACGACGTGCATTTTGCCTATCGACATGCCTGGGGCCTCTCGTTGCGGATTACTGGCGGCCGGGTGCAGCGAGCAAAGATTGTTCGTTCATGGGCCGCACCCGCAGATGCGGCGCTAGAACATTTTAATGCAAGCGTCTCTGACACAGTGGAAATCCTCTATCAGCAGGTTGACTCGGTGCTGTGGGCGCAAACGAACACTGGGCCTTGGGCATCGTGGGCAAACATGCAAGCGCCCAGACCGGCCAGGCAAGTGAGGCCTTTCTTGATGGTGAAGCTCTTGCAGAGAAGTGCGGACATACGTCATGTCTTAACTTCGTTGACCAAAGTCGATGTGGTGTTGACTACCCGACTGAGTGTAGGCATGCAGAGCAGGAACCTTCTGGCGGATGTTCCGTGGCTGACCTCCTCAGGAGACGCTCGCGGGGCTGCCACGCCAACCTCTGGTCCGGAGAACATGTGGCCTTCAACCCCTTCATCTGCTGCAGATATACTCACGGAAGAAGGTGTCACAGTTGCAGATGTGCCCATTTCCGTATGTCTGAACTTGCCTCCAGTAGGCTTGTTCCTGAGCTATTTAGCGCAAGTGGACACTGTCTTGACGACAGAGCAGCCTGCAGGAAGGCAAGTCAAAAAAGTCTTGGCAGACCTTCCATGGCTGCGACCAGGGAGGGCTTCCTGTGAAGCAGAATCGAACCTCTGCTTGCAAGTTGCCAGAGATTGCAGAGGAGGCTCGGCGACAGTGGAGACACCTTCGTCTCCGCGCAGTGCGGCAAGCGTGGATGTGTCGCAAAGACCAGTATTTTTCCGGAGCATCGTGTTTGGTCGTACAGTGTTCCTGGCGGTGTCGGAAACAACTCAGCGACCGTTGACTGACCGGTTGATGTCCGCTGATGAGGCCGCGTCGTGGTTCGTGCTTGAGTTCGGAGCCGGCCTGCCGCGGTCGCGTTTTCTTAGCGTACTCGGGACACTCCCGACTCAGGTGAGGAGCAGAGTTTTCATGCATCGGGCCGTGATCCAGGCTTGGCCGTTTCCGTGCAGACCGTACCTGTACATGTGCAGCGTTCTAGCGTCGCTGGAGGCAGAGCACAACTTTGAGCCTGTGCGAGCAGCCCCAGAGATTCTGCCTCTTTACGCGTACACATGGCCGAAATCTGCTCTGAAGGAATGCATGCTCCGAAGTGGAGCGAGCACTGCAGTTGCGTTCCAGGATGTGCAGACCGTAGCGAGCTTCAACGCGCGAGGAAACGACAGCCAGCACCTTCTGGCCGAGTGGCCAGCAGCAGCTATCGGGCAAAGAGGTTCCTACATATTACACTTCGAAGGGGTGCATTCGTTGATGGTTGTAGGAGCGACAGCGACCTGGTGCTGTGGTCTTTGGACGGTCCTGGGTCCAGTTGAGTTTGCAGAGTCCTTTGCCATGTTGCAGCACTTACAAGTGCACCGCGTCGTGAATGTAGGCTATGCCATGCCGCGCAATGGAGCATGCGCCAGGACTACTTAGGCGGAAGCAATCTGCGGCAGGGCACAGCTGAGGGACCGCTCGAGTCGCAAGTGCGGCGTGGTGCTGCAAAGCAAGCAGCGTCGGAGCTTGAACCTTGTCTACCGGTTAAGGAGGACCGTGTTATGATAGTGCAGCCTTCGTGGCTTCAGCTAATCCTCGAGGGCAAGAAAACTATGGAATTGAGAGGCCGCCGCGCAAAGTGTGGTTGGGTCTGGCTTGCCCAGAAGAGCAGTATCATGGGTCGTGCGCGCATAGCCGCTTGCCAGAGGATCAGCCTGGCCACATTCTTGAAGTATCGTTCTGCCCACCGCGTCCACCAACCTGGCCTACCCTACAAGAAAACGTTTGCGCTATGGCTGACAGATGTTGCGGCGCTTGCCAAGCCGGTCCGCTTCTTCAAGCCCTTCGGAGTCGTTGGTTGGGGGCGTGTGCGCTACCACCGCGACACAGAAAAGAAGCCGTGCAATCCAAGCGTTGGAGGACTGTGCAACATCGGCAACACTTGTTTCATCAACTCCGTGCTCCAGGCGTTGTTTCACATGCCTTGCGTGAAAGATGTATTGGACAGCAGCCAAAGAACGTGTGGGTCAGAAGAGTGCGCTTGGTGCCTGCTGCGACGCACCTTGCAAGCCCGGGACCGTGGCTGCGCTGACCGGCATTGCATGGAGGCGTGGGTTCCGTGGCTCAGCCGATACCACTTGGATGCGGGGGCGGCAGACAGCGCGCTTCTTTTCGCCCACGCTCTGTCCAACACATTGTTGGAGCAGCAGGACCGGTGCACCTGTTACTGTCTTTCAGGGTCCTTTGGTTTTGCCAGACTGTGTTAAGCGACGTCAAACGCATGTCGAACAAACGAACCATGTGATTTCGCGTTCATGTTGGGCACGCGTGTGCAGGAGCGGCCATGCTGCAACCGTACGGTCTTTGGTGTGAAGCTGCGACGTGAAGCCCAGCATTCCTGCCCTAATGCTCAATGCTCCGAGAGCAGCAGGCCCTCGTGTCGTGTCGACATGGAAACCTGGTCAGTGCTCATGGTGGAAAGTGATGCCGCCAAAGAGTCCAAGCTGTCAGATCTATTGGTGCGGTATCTGGAACCACAGCAGTTGTCTCTGCGCTGTGAGTCGTGCAAGGCCGAAAGGACTGGAAATCTGCACGTTTCCATTGAGGGTTTGCCAGAAGCAGTTCTTTGTGGATTTACAAGAGCTGGTGCAATAACCGAAGATGGCGTGCAACTACGTCATCACAGCCCCATTGACTGCGAGGCAGAGCAGCAACTTGGAGGCGAAGAATGTGGTCTCGTGGCACTCGTGGAGCATGTCAGTGGGGAGGCTGGTGAGTCGCGGTCAGGCCATTTCGTTACGTGGGCCAAAGAAGGGACTGGGTGGAAATGCTGCGACGATGCAATCGTCAAGCTTCACCCGAAGCTACCGAGAACAGTTCCTTCGAACGTCGTCTTAGCGTTCTACTCCAAACGGCAAGCCGCTGCGCGCGAAGCCAGGGAGTTGCCAGCACCCTCTGCCGGCCAGACTCAGACTATCCGCGCATCTCAGGAACCATCCGCTCAAGTCGCAGAGTCAGTTGAAGCGTGCGCAAGCACGCCCAGAAGCAGGCAAGCTCGCGAAACTGCCGAAATGCCGCAGGGCTTGCTGCCTCAAGACAGCGACGGCCATCTTCAGTTTGAAGCTTCCGTCGCGGCATTGCTGGAAACATACAAGTCCGGTGAAGATTGCGCGCCGACGCTGGCGTCCTTGCCTTTGTATTCTTGCGAAGTTCTTGATCCTTCCTGGAGCGACTTGCGTGGTCGACTTGACAGATGCTTGCAAGAATATGTGCAAGGCAAGATCGTGGCGGCCGACGCTGTCTATCTGGCGACCCCCATCTGGAGGACAACTTTTTTCCCTATCGCAGTCCTGCTAGAGGCCTGGTCGCGAACGACAGGATTGCCGACCCTCTTTTACATCGATTCCTTCTTCGCGCTGTTGGCCAGCTTGTTGAACAAGCAAGTGAGTTATAATGTTGCAGGCTTCGATGTGCGAGCAAGATACTGGGCCGTCGGCACGGCGTCGCCGGGCTCCGGCAAAAGCCCGGCTCTGGATCCAATGAAGGAGGCGCTGTTGGAGGTTTTGCGGGAAGACCCCGACCTCGCGCCGGGCGGGCCCGGTGACGGTTTCCACGTGCAACCGGTGGGCACCCATGCTGCCGCTGTAGACAGACTTCGATGCACAGGAGGTTACCAATTTATCGGAGCAGGGGAAGGAGGCCCGGTTCTGTGCCCAGCATGGGCGTCCTCTTCGACATGGACTCAAGGAACGCACATTAACTGGCAAAGATATTTGGACGCAGCTACAGGTACGGTTGCAAAAGATTAGAAAGGTTGGTGTAGGTAGGTGGGAGCCTGGCGGGTCTTTACGGTCAGATTATTCTAAAGATGAACACATGTATTCAGGTGGTCCAGTTCCCTGGGAAACAGCAGTGGAGCGACAGGCACGTCGACGCAGTGCAGCCGCGGAAGAGCACGATGTCAATATCGTCGATGAAACAAACGTGTCCGTCGTCATTCTCCAGCAATGGTCCTTGCTGCCCACATGGTGGGCAGCTTCAGAAGAAAAGTGCAGCATCGGCCTGGCTGGGCGCTTTGTTTTTTCCTTTGCTGCTGCCGGCGAGCCTGGGCCTCCGCAAACAGCACAGTTTGGACAGCAGGTTGCCCTGCCTATCCTGAAACGCATCTTCCGAATTGTGCTGCGAACCTTGGGGCCACACTCTCCACTGCCCACCGATAGCCCTCTGCTGAGTTGGGTCGCAGACGCCGAAGGATTGCAGGCCGTGTACGAGTTTCGGCTGCTGTGTTCTGATCTAACCAAAACTCTCGACATGGACGAGACCTTTGCGTCTTGTGTCAACAAGTCTGGCTACTGGCTGACGACTATTGCTTTTTGGACAAGCGTCCTGAGCCAGGTCTGGCCGCGCGCAGCAGGCGGCCGAGACGATGTCGTTCTGCATGCACAAGTGCAGCGTGACTCGTTGAAGCTTGCCATGGAGTTCTTTACTTCCAGGTTTTTGCAAGGTGCAGCAGTGCTTTCTGCAGATGTGCGCGGTCGCACCTGGGTCAGGAAGCGGCCGCCTTGCATCGCCAAAGCGAGCCAGCGGTGGAACCTCGCTGCATTGCTGCTTCTCAAGAGTTCGTGCGGTGTCAGCATAACAGCAGCCGTGGCCTAAAGAGCAGGCCCGATGTTCCGCGGCCTTGCAGCAAGCCCCGGAACGGCGACCCGCGCAGCAGCGGAAGCGGCTTATGTGGAAGCCCTGGAGTATCTGCGCGTGCGGGGGTTTGGGGTTGTGCAGCCAGCCCTCGACGGCAAGCTCCCTGTGTTCCTGAAGAGACACTATCAGTCTTTGCCGCAGTCTTCCAGAGAGCAGCTGGCCCAAGCGCACGTGCCAGGAACCGTGTTTGGTTTGCATATTGCAGAAGCAAGTTGCGCTCGCCCAGGCGCCGACGCAGCAGCATTTTCAGTCGGCTTGGCTGCGCCCGACGCAGCAGCCCCCGTGGGCAGCTTGGCTACGGTCGCGCTCGCGGAGGACAACACCGAAGTCATTGGAAAGACAACAAGCAGCTCCGACAGCAAGCCGCTAAATCGGCAAGCTTCTGCAGCAGGCAAACGCGCGGGCATTTCGGCTGCAAGCATTCCAGACAAGGCTGGCAAGGATTGCCTCAGTTCGTCAACGCCTCGTGAAGCGGCGGAAGAAGCAACAGTGCGTGATGCTCGCGAACAAGACCGCGACGAAGACCTGGGCGCGACCTGGGAGGTAATCCACCAGGGCCCGGTGGACATGTGCATCCAGAGCTACACGAGCTTTCGAGAAGCAGTGGAGCAGGTACTAGGCTTGAGCAAAGACGCAGGCATCTATGATTTCCACGATCTGGGGCTGGAGCGTGGTGTACGCAGATTGAAAGGCGCGTGCCGGCCTGAAGCCTGCAAAGGATGCACGCAGCGGGTGCGTGCAGAATTTGGCTTTGAAGCCGGGCGGCCGAGTCTGAAGGTTCGCACGAGGGGCAAGCATGGGGAACTTGCGAAGCCAACTGGTGGATCTCTGTGGACAGTGGCCGAGGAAGTGGCGATCCGCAGAAGCTGTAAAGATGCAGAAACCCTCACGAGTGTGAATGTTCGCCAGTGTCTGAAGCAGGCGGGGCTAAAGCTTCGATGCGAATCACGGCAGCTTCACCAATGGGTGACAAGACAAAAAGCCAAGCTAGGAGTGCAGACGAAGCGAGGGCCAACGTCTGTTCGGGCAGGGGAACTACAAATTGCGGCGGCCCCTTTCCTGCTCAAAGATCTTGGAACGTGGGAAACGCTGCCTTTGCATAAGCTCTTCGTCTTGCAGGATCCAGCACCTACCTTCAATGAAGAGCGTGTCTGCGTCGCGTGGACTTGCCCAGGCATGCTGCGGCGGGCTCGTGCCGCGCAAGGAAAGGTGATCAAGCTGGCCATCGACGGAAAGCAAAGCATCCTCATCAACGACTATACCGTCGTGACCGTCAGTTTTCTGGTGTGCAGTGAGCAGGTCAGACCGACAAGACAAGGCGGTGCCAGGACAGGCAGTCGCCAGAACGCTCACACCCTGACCCAGGAGCCGTTAGCCCAGACGCTCATGAACACGGAAAAGGAAGCCAACATTTCGCAGTTCCTACGCACGCTGGAAAACGTGGCTAGCAAATGCTGCGGCCTTGACCTAAGCTACCAGGTCTGGCAAGTCCACAAAGACTACGCCAAAGGCATCGAGGCGTCCCGCATCAATGTATTCCCTTGTGCACGACCGTGCGATGACTACCCACATATGCGGAGAGCATCGCATAGCGTGCTCGCGAGCCTGCTCTCGCCGAAGATTCCGTCGGAGCCTCAGAAGTTCTTAGAAGCCAAAGTCACGAGGTCGACCGAGCTACTTTAAAGACTATATAGGGTTGCGCTACGTCGTTACGTCGGATGTGCATGCGCTCCGAGTGATTGACGGTGTCTAGCTGTTGTCACACCAAGGCAGAACAGTTCCGCAGCAGAGGACGAAAGCAATGCAAGGCAGGTCCGGCAACCCCTTCCCTTCTGTGTGCGTGCGAAGAGTCTAGAGTCTAGAGAAGTCAAATTGATGTCACACAGCGCAAAGACTGCGTGTCTTCTGCAGGCGGTCGAAGCCAGCCGAGACGAAGCCTTTGCAGCTGCTGGAGAGAGTGATTCAACTGAGTCGGTTCTTGCCGACTGTTGTTCTGTTTGATGCGGTGTGGCAGCTAACTTTTTCGTGGTTGGAGACCGTCAGCAAGAAAGCCGCGACCTACTTGAAGCAGACGTACTTTCACAAAGTGCCAGTCTCGAGCCTTCGCAAGCAGATGCATGTAGGGCAGCCAGTGGGAAAGTCCGCGGATGCCAGTTGCTGGTTCGCCGGCTTCTGGGCAGGCGTAACTGGCACATACCCAGGAACTGGGTCCGGGACACAGTCGCTGGAGAGCTTTCACGCATACTGGCAGGCGCAGGTCCGGTCCAAGGTAAGGACAGCTCCGACCGACATATTCCGAGCAATGGAAGATTTGTACAAGACCGACTGGTGCAAGAAGTTCATGTGGGAGGAGGCGCGAAGCTTCTTGACGTGGCCAGACCGTCCCGCGCTGGACCTCTTAAACAGCACCATGCTGCGTACTGCTGGACGGTCGCCTGCGGCAGACTTTTGGGATCAGCGGGCGAAGAAGCTGACGGGTCTGCGTAATCATTTCAAGATCTGGCGCCGCACAGACAAGGCCAAGGGCCAGGACGGCATAACGACTTTCTGGGTCATGCGGTGCCAACGCCACCAGGACCAAATGCCTGCTGATGCAAGCATCGACCAATCCACCGCCGAGACTTTTGCAGACCTGCTGACCCTGGACGGCACAGAACTGCAGCGGCTGCTGACCAGGTGCGGTGTGGCAGAGGGAGACGCAAACAAGCAGCGGCTGAATGCGAATGCGCTCGACAAGCTCCTGGGCGTACACTGCGCAGTCTTTCGAGGCCACCTGGCCGATTCCCTCTGGCCGCGTGTGCGACGTCGGCTGCAAACCCCACTGCCATCCACGCTCTGCACATGCATCGAGTTCATGCAGCACGCAGAGTGCGAACACATTGTCTTCGTGAAGGCATTGGAAGGGGATGCAGATGCAGAGAATCTGAATGAGGTTCCTATCCTGCGAAAAAGAGGACGTAAGCCCAAGCGGAAGGCAGACGCGGAGATGAAGTCTGCATCTGCGGCAAAGCGTCGCAGGCAGCAGAAGTAAGCGCCGGTGCCGTGAAAAAGTTGTTACCGCTGAGACAGCCTCGCCAACTCCCGCCCAAGCATACCCGAAATCACACACGAGCGTTGTGTTCGCAAGCGTGTAATCCTTTTTTCGAAGTCCAGCATGCGAGTGTCGGTTGTTTTTTTGAGCGCTCAAGCTTGCTTGTAAGCAGTATGTTTGAATCCTCTCCAGACTCATCATGCGAGCGTTGAATTTGCGACTTGGCGGACGGGGTCCGCGGCCGTAGGATAAGCCTGCTTCTCCAAACCCATCATGCGAGCATCGTGTTGCACATGGGGAGGCCGTGCCCTCCCAACCCTTCCGGTTTCCTTTGTCGATCCTTACCCTCCTTTAAAAGAAAGTGCAAATGCCTTGTGCCCTGATCACTTTGCCTCAAATGTGTGCCCGACGAGCCGAGCCGGCCTGTACGTCTTCGAATGCCTACAAGCCACTCGGTTTTAAGGTTGGACATAGGGTTTCAGGAAGAGTTCCTGGCCATGATTCATTATCGAATTCAAGAGGTCATGAGATACAAATTCAATTCAAGCATGGAGATTCATCACCTGCTTCGGCCAGTGTGCCGAATGACCCCACGAACAGGGCGAGGCAGCTCTTTACAAAGAGCGGAATGCCTCTGCCGTCCCACTGTACCCCACGTGCATCCACTTGCATGTCTGTTTCACGTATCACTTGCATGTATCCAGGTTCTAGCAGAGTACTGATCGACAGCTGTGAGCCTGAGCTCTTTACAAAGAGCGGAATGCCTTTGCCGTCCCACTGTACCACACGTGCTTCCCATGCATACATGTCGCAGTCCATGGGCCTATAGATTGAAATTTTCGTAAACATTCAAGCTTGAATCTTGCCTTCCGAGGTGGCTCTGTGCGCTCGGAAGAGTCCGAGATTGTGTCGGGTGGAGGTCGGGGCGAAGGGGACAGATGTGAAGGTGAACCTGGAGCGGAGTTTGAAGATGATGAGGAGCTTGCTGGTGCGGATGATGCGGCGTCTGCTGGTATGGATTACGCAGAGCCTGGGGACGCACATGTACCGAGTGTTTCCTAGAAGGTCTTGGCCACATTGTAATGAGTGTGGGACACGTGCGTGTCGAACTTCTGCTACATGCGCATTAATTAGACATGTCCCTCCGAGCTTCAACTCAGGCTTGCCCTGCGCGCAAACTTGCGCAACCACGACGTCTCAGCCCGTTGCTTGCGTGTGTACATACATGCGCAAGTCCCTTTCCCAAGAGCCCGCGGTTAGAACAGTTGTGGCTTCCAAGTTGAGCTTCTTCATCGTCGGACCCCAGTGCGACGCCGGCGCGGCGACACAAAGATTGCATGTACCATGCATGCGTTGAAGTGTATATAGGTATGTGCAGGAATGAACGACTGAGTGCATTGCCACCAGCCCAGGACAATTGCAGATCAGCCCCAGGAGCCAAGCCGCAGCTCGAAAGGAACTCTATTGAATGAAAGACAGAAAGTATAGGGCGACTCGGAAACAAGGTTTACCGACCAAGATCTGCAGGAGAGGAAGGATTTGCATCTTGTCGATGACTTCCAGGATCTGGGTGTGGAGCGTGGTGTGCGCAGATTGAAAGGTGCATAACGCAGAGATTGCACGTATCTTGCATGCGTTGCAGTGTATATAGGCATGTGCAGGAATGAGCTACTACATCAGCAGGATGAGAGTTTTGTCGCACTAAGATGTCTTTGCTTGGCGGAGGACTCGGAGTACGAAGAAGTGCATTTTACGTGGCCTGGCTAGCGGAGGAATTTCCATGCCAAAATGAACATACCCTGTTTTTTGTTCCGACTGCGACGAACTTTCGTCCTGGCGCAGCATGAATTCCAAGACCGCTAGTTTGGCCAGGCCAGCATGTGTCACACGGAGGAGGTTTTTTGGACGGGGCATGAATTCCAAGACCGCTAGTTCGGCCAGGCCAGCATGTGTCACACGGAGGAGGTTTTTTGGACGGGTGCCTACTCGTTTTTAGTCGCGGGTGAGCAGCATGAATTCCAAGACCGCTAGTTTGGCCAGGCCAGCATGTGTCACACGGAGGAGGTTTTTTGGACGGGGCATGAATTCCAAGACCGCTAGTTCGGCCAGGCCAGCATGTGTCACACGGAGGAGGTTTTTTGGACGGGTGCCTACTCGTTTTTAGTCGCGGGCGAGCATCAGCAGGATGAAAGTTTTGTCGCACTAAGATGTCTTTGCTTGGCGGAGGACTCGGAGTACGAAGAAGTGCATTTTACGTGGCCTGGCTAGCGGAGGAATTTCCATGCCAAAATGAACATACACTGTTTTTTTGTTCCGACGGAGGAATTAGTGACGTCCTTGCCAAACATCGCGACTTCGTGAAGGAGTCTATGGGGGAAAGGGGTTTGCGAGTATGTGTTAGCAGACCTACCGGATGCGACGAACTTTCGTCCTGGCGCAGTATGTGCATTGCTAGCAGCCCAGGACACTTGCCGATCAGCCCCAGGCGCCAAGCCAAAACTCGAAAGGAGCGCTACTGAATAAAGCGCAGAAAGTAAGGCTACTTGTGCCAACTGTGTGGCAGCAACGGCATGGATCCATCCGATGTGTAATGTAATCGATGGAGAGTTCCTTACCAAACCAAACATGTGAGCATCGGGTTTGCACGTGGGGGGTTGAAACACTGATGTGACACATCCACTTGCATGTCTGTTTCACGTATCACTTGCATGTATCCAGGTTCTACCAGAGTACTGATCGACAGCTGTGCGCCTGTAGTAAACAACATTGCTGCGAGACTATGTTCCTAAACGTCTTACGAGCCGGATACACGCCCAGATTACATTTCAGCGTGGGGCGACCGCCAACCCCTCGACTTCCCAAGCCGCCTCACAACTTTTGCGAAGCTTTCCTTGGCGAACCCATCACGCGAGCGTTGTGTCCGCAAGCCTGCAAGCTTGCTGATTGAGATGCAGTACCCTACTGGGAAGAACCGGTGGCTTGTAAATGGTTAACATACTTTACGAGGTTAGCTATCTGTTTACAAACAAATGTAAAGGGTTAAGTTGGTTTAGCTATAGGGGTTAGCATAGCTTAGAAAAGGGGGTTAGTCTAAGTAACATAAAGGGGCCCCTTATACGTCTAAACCTTCCAAGCCCTGAACATAAAAGCCTCAAGCCCTAAACCCGAACCCTGCAAAACAGAAGTCTTTTTTTGCATGCCGGTCGTTCACGGTCTTCCGGCTAGAGAAACTCGTTTAAGGCCGTAGCCTGAGAACGGCTGCATTTCAGCAGATATATAATATACATGGGATGCCGTAGCCTTCTGCATCCCATTCTGCATGCCTGCAGCAAAAGGGGCCGTAGCCTGGAAGAAAGCTTGCTTTCAGCTTGCTGAGTTTTCAGACTCCTCTTCCTCATGCTCCTCTTCCTCAGCCACTTCCTGCTGGGAATTCCAGTTGTCTTCATACTCTGTAGAGGACTGCTCGGTCACGGTAGGGAGAGCATGCTCGTCCCCGGACTCCACGATATTCATATATTCGTACTCCCTCCATGCCCTTCTGTAGTTGCTGCGACGGACATCCCTCTCGTTGTACCACTTGATTGTGCATTTTGCACACCAGTGGTTCAGGTGTGCATTTTTCACTCTGCAGCAGCTGGGGGCACCGCATTCCGTGCATGGTCCTGCACACGGGTCCATCCTCAAACGGCGGCTGCAGGCTCCTCCCATTTCAAACTGCACGTGTGCAGGAGCTTATAAGGATGGCCTTGGCCGCGATGCACTCGCAGTCTGTTTTTAGAGTTCGCAGCACCTTTGGCCTTGGCCGGATATCACAGCAATCGCCCGAAGACAGGCGAACGGCAAGCTCTATAAAAAATATTATAGCATTTGAGCCACATGGCGGCAGCAGATTTCAGACATGATATAAGGCACATGACGACCCCCCATACATGCCCGATGACCCAGTGAAAACCCTTCGCATGCCTCTGTTTCCTTGCGATGCACTCGTGTGTCAGCAGCTACTTTGCTGCATGGTATATAATGATCTATCTGTGCAGCATGCTAACCGATTTTCGGTGCAGTGCTCATGTGTGCATACACACATAGAAGCAAAAAGTTGGTTGGCATCGCTTTCGAGCCCTGCACAGCTGGCTTAGCAGCCGTTCTTCTTCTTCCACAGCAGAATGGCCTCTCTGTGGGCCTCTCGCTGGCACTCTACCACTTGCTGCTCCGAGAAGCCTTGCTGCTTTGCCCACGTTCCGGCTCGCTTGTACATGCGAGAAGCATAGTTCTTCTGGATGCAGCCGTCCTCCCAGACAATTTGGAACTTCCGCTTTCCATGCGAGCCTTGGGCTTGCTGCTCCTTTGCTTTGCCTTGGCCTTTCTTCGAAGCACTCTTGTCCTTGGACTTTCCTTTGCCTTTGCCGCTGCCCTTCTTCTTTGGATCTTGGCCTTGGCCATTCGTTTTTGTCTTGTTCTTTGCCAAGTTTCCTTGGCCACTCGCTGCAGCTGCAGCGGCCGGCTTCTTCAGAATCCCAGCTTTGCGATCTTTGAGCTTCTTGAACAAAGCTTCGTCCTCGAGATCGTTCTCGGCAGGGAGCGACTCCGTTGCTTCGGGTTCTTCGGCTGGAGGCAGGGCTAGCTGCAAGGCCGACTGTCGCCCTGGCGAGGTCTGCTGTGTCGCAGCCGAAACCGGCTGGGCTGGGTTGCCCAGAGCAAAGCCGACCCCGGCACTGCTGCTGCTCAGCTCGCCTCCTGTGATGGAGTTCCGTCCAGGGGTCCTGCAGCAGGTATACAAATGGAAAGGCATGCATGGGCTGTGTATATACAGATGCAAAACAAAGGAAAAGATAAAAGAAGCATGCAGTCCTCCTTTGCAAGATACTTGCGCCTGCAGCAAGCTGCAGCTCCCTTCGCCCACCATCCTGGATGGCATTCTGACCGCAGCCCTGGTCCAGCATTCTTTCCAGTCGCCCGAAGCACTGCTCCATGCGGCTCCGGAACTCGTTCGCATGCTGCTC